TATGCATGGTTCTGGAGAAAGCAGCAACACCACAGGACAAACATCCGGACCGTTCTGAACAGGCATGTTTTAAATGGGCGACTGCAATAGTGTGCGTCATTCACAAAAAATACAGAACTTTTGACCAGAAACAGCTATAAAAAAAATGTCTCACTGCTTCATTTCAGACACTATAATGGATTATTCACTCAGTACCTCTGAAAATATCACGTTTGCAAAACTTTATTACACACATATGCAAGTCATAAATAATAAAAATGTATATAAATATACTCACTTCACGGTGCCGATTATGACTTGGCAGAGCGGATAGATTAGAGGCTGGAGTACATCACTGGGGTGCAAGGTGCTGAGGACCCGACACCAGAGGTACAGACAGTGGATATACTGCCAGTTATACACCGACTGGTACGTTTCCTACAGAACACACACAACGACAGTCGGTTAGTGTCTTATTATAGGTGCTACCTCCATAAGGTCTGATCTCTTGAGTTCTATTATGTTATCTTATTCTTCTTATATTATCTTCTTGATAATGTGCTTCTCTTAGGAGGATAATATTAATAATGATAATCAGGCAAAAAAAGTTGTGCAGCTGCCGCATGATAGTTTATGATATTGTAATTCATTCCCATGCATGCTGCTCAAGAGTATTCGAAGTGATCGGCTCGTCTGCCGACAGTGTGGGTTCTCTCCCCGACACATTCCTGCTTATAATGGAGCTAAACAGCTGTTTTTGGTGAGAAACTTGAATAAATACAAGAAATACAAAATAGATATTAGAAAGGGAATTATGACCTGCTTAACTTCCTAACACTAGCTCTAGGCAGATTATAATACATAATTAAAACAATAAAAGTCAGGGTGATATTTTAACCCATTTACTTCCTAATCATTTGAATTGTGTGTTTTTATTCGAATAACCACTATAGATGACAATAACAAAGTATAACATTAAGTTTACATTGACTTTGGAACAGTTGGAATTACTTTTTGGGATGCTCCTGGACAATGGTAAAAAAATTAAAACAAAGAATCTGCCTAGAAAATTGCAATAGGTACATCTCTAAGAATAATGCTTTACTCACTCGTAAAAATTATTAAATATGTCTTTATATGTCAAAGTATGCCTCTTCAAAGCTTTCATAAGCAGACCGTCTCCCTGAGCACATACACACAGTCTAAAACCAACCTTTTTCTTCATGGTCATGGCGTTCCTGAGGTGGATGGCTAACTGTCGGATGTAGATGAAGGCGTGCTGGTAAGTGGCCTGCGTGTCCAGGGAGTACATCTCTGTGAGAGTTCGCTGCATGAAGTTGATCATGGGCAGTGCAGTGGGAGATGTGAACTTACAGTTTTGTACATATGAAATGTACATTTGCTGCAAAGAGAAAGAAAAACATCATAAGCAGGACAAATGAAAATACTTACTGGTTCTACAAGCTAGGTGTGCTTTTAAGCATTTCGAGTAAACGTCAAATTAAAAAGAAAATTAACTCTCTTTTTACTTTCTAGTCTTTCAAGAAAACATTCTCAGTGAATTCTGGTCCACAGTAAATCCCGGTCTGCTGAATGCGCTTCTATTTCTGTATCACTTTGCATTCAGCTCACCTTGAGAATAGGGTTAAGATAAGTGTCCTGCTTGTGTCTGCAGATCTTGTTGAGTGCCAGGAAGGCGAGAACCCGACTCGTCTCCTCCCCTGTACTCCACTGCTTCATCAATTGCTGCACACAAAGACATGAGACGGCTTATAAGCAAAAAGTTACATGGAAAACTCTTTAGCAGCGTTAAATTGAGGACGAGATTCCACGCCATTCTGTGATAATGTACGCGTTACCTTGACCAGGTGACGACACTGTTTGGGTAGAGAAAGGTAATACGGTACGAGCTGGTTGGCGTGCCGCAGGACTGCACTGATGACTGTAGCCTCTGTCAGACAGGATAACAGCTACAGGAGGAGAGTGAGACAAGAGCCGTTAGAGGGAAAAAAGAGGTTAATACAGGGATGTTTTCAGGACGCATCGTGGCATGTACAGCTTGGTTATAAATCGATTGTTCTGTGTCAAAGAAAAACATGTATCTGCACTTTCTCTACTGCATCTCATCCCGTCCACCTCCCAAGAATACGAGAGGCAGAACTCAAAGGGAAAAAAAGCTCAGACAGACAGAGAGACACTTGAATCGAAGAGCAAAACAAACCTGAACGACTCCACCGAGATACATCTTGATGTCAATCTGATTCTTCTGCCACTTTGGACTCGACGATGGGAGCACTAGCCTGAGAACAGAACGAAAGAAACAAAAGTGAGAAATGAACCATCTTTCCACAGCTACATTAAGACGATAAAGAGGATGCAATTTTTAAAAAATGTGACTTCCGTTTCATACTTTTTTTGGTCTTTTTCTGGCTTCAGGTTGAGCATCCTTTGTAGGGCTGCATTAATATCTCTGATACAGAACAGGACCAGGGCGTTGAACACTGCAGACAGTACAGGGAAAGAGATATTTATGCATATTTCATTGTTTGTTATCATTCAGTAAAATTCTCTCAATTCAATACATTCAGATTAATCAAATATGTCGCTGTGTATTTGGTTAAAAATAATCCCAAACAGTGCCGTGCTGAAGTTGTGGAGTTGAAACCAATGTCTCTCATTTTTACCACATCTGGTTGTTTTGGTTATTGCCGAACCCACTGCTGTGTATTATTATATGCACTGCTACAGAAAGTAGTAGTATGCTTTTATAAAAAGATGAATGTTACAGTAAACAAATACATTGAATACAAGTAGTGCCGATACTTTATCAGTATTATCAGTAATATGCCGGCTCTTCTTACTGTAGTAAAATTGATGAAACTGTGGAAATTTCAAACTGAATCCCGGCACCAATGATATTTAGGGCAGTTTTTTTTTTTTTTTTAACACCTGTGAGCTACATTTTAACACCAACCTAACATACATATGGGGGAGTCAAACCTCAATATTTTTTGGTAATGACCCAATGTGTCTTTGATATCGCCTCAGTGCCGAAAGCTGGTATCAAATAGCTGGTCAGATTTATTCATTTCCGATAACCAGAGTTCCGAATTTAAAGCAAAATTTGGCGGAGTGCATTTCATTTAAAGCTGCTATACATTGATATATTTATAATAACAAATATCACAGGGATGATGCTGTAATATTTTATATAAATGCAACAGTTTGAATTCACATATCAAACATGGTATCCTACCTGAGCTGTCAGCAACTTTGTATCGACACTGAGCCCCTCCTTCGCCCTTGGTTGTAGCCACAGCAGCCTTAAAGGCCTGGGTGACTTCTCTGAAGAGACGGGGGTTGGGTTCCTTCTTCATTGCAGCTTTCCAGTCTGCAATCATTTTCTCTGTGACTTTGATGGTCTCCACTGCCTTCTTGGATTTCTTCGAAGCTTTCTGACCCTCGTTATCGTCTTCATCATCTTCATCATCGTCGTCGTCACCAGAGCCGGCCTCCTACATGCAAACCACCACAGTATGAAGACCCTTGTTTTCACAAATTAACTCAATCATTACCTCACACCCCAGCAGCCCAGCCCACCTCCAGTGCAGAAGGCAATTTGTGATACTTCTTCTCATCCTCATCATCAGAGCTGTCTGTGTCGTCAAAGTTTAGGAGCGTTTGGTCGTTTGCTTGCAGAAACTTGTAGAACTCTGGATCTTTGTTCTGTAACCTGGACAGCTGCTGCTTGTGCTCATTGGCTTTACCTTTTTTCCCATCATCCCTATGGGGAAAAAGACACCCACAAAAACACAAGGGAGTTGCTCGTCTGTCCTCGATAGATTTTCATATTGTTATTACCATCACTACAAAGATACAGTATATACAAAATATAAATGACACCATATCAAAAGACCCACGTCGTGAAGGCTTCAGGTTTCAGCTCTTTCTCCTTGTTCAGTTTATTGAATCCATTCTGCTGGTCAGTCTCTTCATCAGATTCACCTTCACTGGCAGAGTTCAAGCCTGACAGCATGAACTCATCCACACTGAGGTCTTCTAACTTCCTACAAATACAAAACAACAGTTCAACATATAAGTTGGCCAACATGTGTGTGGGGGTGTATATATATGATACGTTACGGATTCCAGTATCAATTCAAACGTTTTGGGGTTTTTTTATGCTGCCAGCTTGTCGGTTAACAAGTCAAATCTTATTAAACTTTCGTGAAAATCCTGTTTTCATCAAAGAGAAACTGAACATGTAGCTGGTGTTTGATTTAAGCTAACGTTGGCTGCTTCCAAGAACACCTAAGCTAGCGCTAACAGCATGGGAGGCTAACACACTTTCGCACACAGTGTTAGCTAAAACGAGTCTTAAAACCTCACAAATATACGGACTAGACAGACAACACTTATAAAAACAAAACACATTTTCAACTCGTTAATGCTCTAATTATATAGCACATAGTAAAGACAATCTCTACATGCCTTTTCTGCTTCCCTGCCATGCTGGATCCGAAACGTGACTACCTCAAACATCAATACCCACAATGCCCCTGTGCAAAACTAAGCGGTTGGTTTTATGTTTCATGGGTGCCAAACTACTAAACAAATTTTACAAATGTAATATAATAAGCTTATTTCGTTTGATCCAACACTGTATGGGAGTTTATGTTTCGTTTTCGATAACGTTGATGTATTACAGCATAAAACATGTGACACTATTAACACTTAATCGAACCATAAATTGAAAAAAAGCAAGTCGGCGAGCACCGCAAACTCGATATTTCAGTCATAACTGGGTCCAAGAACAAGCAGTGTTTTGATGCTACACGTGATTTTGAATTAAATGATCGGCTGCCTTCACGAGATACAGGCAGCTGTAGATTCGCAGAGCAGTAGGGTTTCTTTTTCATTCATTGTCCATCGCGTTAGGCAGCCACAGAGCTGGGTAAGCTCACAAACAGGAAGAAATCATTGCTGTCATATCGACACCGACGACGGCTAGTGTGGTGAGTCCTGCTTTTAGCTAACGTTAGCCAACAAGCCCATACATCGGCGATACATTATGACTTATGATGACAGTCGTGGCTTTTATTTTATCCTCATACAAACCTATCACATTCACAGTTTCAGCGCATGTATCGCCTTAAAAACTAGCGTATTATAATCTGTTCATTCTTGAACACCGAGTTTATGTGTTTGTTAGATTTGGTGACCAGGCCAACCGGGGCGGGGCATGGTTCAGGTTCTGACCAATCATGGCGCTTCTATGTCAAACTCCGCCTTTCGCGCTCGCTAGGGCTCATTTATTGAACGCACTTCCTGACTCTGACCAGACAAAGGGGGGCGCTTAAGGTCGTTTATGTCACGTCGAATAGTAAACAAACAACCATTGTAGACGTTTGACATGTGCGCTTAAGAAATAGCTTCCTGTGCATTTCTAAACGTGCAGCCTCCGTCCCTCGGCATCATATTTCAACAGCAGGAGCAGTAGCTACTCTCATCTCCAGCAGTTCCAGCTCCACCTTAACATACGATGTCGGCTTTCGTGCAGTTTTTTTGCATTGACGTCAACCACATACAGCACGAAACAGAGGCTTTCTTCATATTTCGTATGCTTGAGTCGAAATATGGACAGATATCCAGACACTGGTGCTAGTTTTAGACCAATCTGACTGCGACAGTGGCTAATTTAGCGCCCATCACTTTGAGGAAGACACTGCGTCCAAGGATACCCGCAACACATCCACTGGTAAAGAAATGACACATTCATTCTCTCTATTGCTGTTGCAGCAGCTGTTATTCAAAATAGATGGAGTGGGGGTTGGGGTTTATGTAAAGCACACAAGGAGGCTGTCAATGAACAGAAACATCCTTCAGGTGTCCAAAAGAGATTACAGTGAAGCATTTTGTGTTTTGTCAAGGAATCAATCGTCTTTGGGTGGAGAGGGGAGAGAAGATTTTAAGAGACAAGCCTGGGATGAACGGGACAAGTGCTTTACTCTGTTAGTTTTAGCTGTGGCAATTGTGTTTTCACTTCTGCCTCAACCTCCTCTGTGTACCCATGTCTCCATTTGCAGCATTGTTCTACGTTATTCCCTTGGGCACGAGAGCAGATTGTCCCCTCAAAGAGGAACATGGTTTTTGTGGTCCATTGTGTTTCGGAAAATGGGACCTGAAACTAGTCGCCAGGCAGCTGTGGTGACATTTGATATGTTCCTCAGTGGAACAGTGCAGAGTATTTTCAGTGCCTCTGAACAGATGACAACATAATTAAGATGCATTTGTTCTCAGTGCCTTGGGGTATTTGGCCGGAAAGACATGTGAAACTCAACTTCATCACAATAGATGTGTTGTTTTGTTTTAGTCTGAAGAGTTGCATGTGTTAGACTTCCAACTGATCAATATTGTTCATTGATGAGGTTGTGGTGGCTGCATATTTGTTCTGATAAGCTTGTTATTGTCACAAACAACCCACTATATTTACAAACCCCAATAATGAATTTAAAATGAAAAGTAAAGCATCACTAGAGGATAAGGATATTTTAAAACAACACACTATGTGGATGCTCTGTGTCAGAGGAGTTCAGAGGCTTTACACTTCAACCCACTCTTATCTTCTGCTCATATGTTTATTTCTCTGCCCTTGTAGTGAAAATATTCTCTTCCTGAAGTCTGTTCTAGGCCGGTGATGTTTCTAATTCAGTAACTTCATTCAGTAGTTTGCCTTAGTGCATCCTAAATATTTATCAGACAACAACTTCTAAGATGCAGCCTGACGATGGTTATGCAACATTCTGAAGTGTGTTCTCCATCCGAGAGCAGGGCGGATGAGAGGCTAACTCAGGCTACATCCTACTCCCACCCTGCATACCCGAGGCTGCAGCTGGGGTAAGGTGGGTGGGGTGGGGTTTCCACAGCTAATTCTGGTGCAATTAAACTGGCCATTATAATAAGGAGTCATTGTAATAAGATAAACTAAGACTGTCCAATAGATGAGAAGCCAGCATTGAGAGGATTCCAGTTTAAGTTTAAGTAATAATGTCCATTCTCTATTGTCATAATGTGATTTAAGCAGTCTTGACACCGAATGTCAAATAATTAGGCCAGCCAACCTACTACACTTTGTAATTGTACTGAGATTTCTGTCATGCTGGTAGGCTTCCTGTCATAGCTGTCAGGTTGGGTACTATAACAGAAAAAACAGGTACAATCATTGTTCAGGACACCTGTCATAACACCTGCCTCCCAGCAGATCAACTAAGCTCTCGCAGGTGACATTTTTTCATAATGACAAGACATTATTAAAAGTTAATGACACTGGTATTAACACACAGGAAAATGTTTTTTAATGTTTTATATGTATGTTTCAGTTGCCCAGAGTGCGGCCCAGGCAAGAGCCAGCGACCGCCACATCAGGCACCATGATGGAGGGGGGCATGCAGCTGCTCAACCGCGATGGCCACAGCATCTCGCACAACTCGAAGCGCCACTACCACGACTCCTTCGTGTCCATGAACAGGATGCGACAGCGTGGCCTGCTGTGTGACATTGTGCTCCATGTCTCCAACAAAGAAATCAAGGCGCACAAAGTGGTGCTGGCATCCTGCAGCCCCTACTTCCACGCAATGTTTACCAGTAAGTTCAGTCCACACACACTGCCTCTCTTGGCTTTGCTTTGCTTTATCCCCAAAATCTATGAAGCCCAGCATGTTGCATGCCTCAGACCCGTTAATCTCTGACATCAAACATGCTGCAAACATGCATCATTTTGCTCTGTTGCTCAGAGTTTGATAACACAACACCTCCCGTGTGCAGTGAATGCCGCCTCATCCATTCAGCAGCATCATCGCTTCCTTTCCCCTCTTCCTGTCTGGGGCACTGGTGGTCAGATGAGGTGTGTGTGTGTGTCTCACATTTCCTCCCAACACTAGACCTTTTGTGAGGGTAGATTGTGTCTCCAGACACTCAGTTGTCTGGCTTTTAGTCTCAGCTGCAAGGCTTCCTCTCGTCTGACCAAGTCACTAATTGGCCCATTTGAACAGAATTTGCACATCTTTCATGATCATCCAAACAGCAGCATCACAGCTCCCCTTCAGATATTGTGTTTAACCATGTTTAAGTCAAGACTGATGCTGCCTGACGCATAAAAGAATGATCGCAGTCACTTCGACACAGTGGGGCATACTGGTTATAATTCATAGGAAAAATGTAACAGCTCTATTTCTGTGCGGTCATGCAGATGAGATGTCGGAGAGTCGGCAGACCCACGTGACCCTTCATGACATCGACTGTCAGGCTTTGGAGCAGCTGGTCCAGTACGCCTACACAGCAGAGATTGTGGTCGGGGAAGGCAATGTGCAGGTGGAAGATTTCAGATTTATAGACTAAATTAGACTTGTACTTTGACCCCATTCATCAAACTGACTCAGTGTATTTCCACCTGTAATTGCACGCTTTCTAGACGTTGCTCCCGGCAGCCAGCCTGCTGCAGCTCAACGGGGTGCGGGACGCCTGCTGTAAGTTCCTCCTCAGCCAGCTGGACCCCTCCAACTGCCTGGGCATCCGGGGCTTCGCTGACACGCACTCCTGCAGCGAACTGCTCAAGTCAGCACACAAGTATGTCCTGCAGCACTTTGTGGAGGTGTCCAAGACAGAGGAGTTCATGCTGCTGCCACTCAAACAGGTAAGGGCGATGCTTTCTCTGTCTCCTGCTGTGTGTGAATGAAGTAGTTTTAAAGGTGGCATATTCAGAGTGGGGAAAAGTTGTTGGTAGATCCATATACTAGTAATGGCTCCCTCAGTTTGCCAGTCATTTGCTTAATTGATTTAACAGTGTTGTTATATATATGGTTGTACTGACAGCCTCTTAGTGTGAATGTACGTTGAGCAGGGTGTTCCTAAAACCTAGAAACTATGCTGACTGAATTAAGGCAGTCAGGTTTGGGATGGGTTTGTGCTGATGTATAAATAAATAAGAGAACTGCATCATCTTTGATGTTAAATTCTGTTTCAAACAAATGCCTTGTCAGGTGACAAAGAATAAAGTTAAAATGAAAATAAGCATCACTTTGCCGCCATCTTTCACACCTCTATAGGGAACAATCCCCACTGTACTAAAGAGTTTGTGCTTCATGAGAGTAAAACGCTAAGCTTCAGTCTCTGTCCGTGGCCTTCAAAGCCCTGAGACTGAATCTGCATTGAGAGTGTGAATGGAGTGTCCATTAAAACAGTCAAAGTTAAGCTGCATAAAGGCAGTCGATTGCCTTTGGCTCATCGTCCCATTAGATCTGCAGCTGTTCCGTGTCTGTAGTAAATCTGCATCAGATCTCAATTTATGTACTGGACGCTCGAAAGGACTCTGAGCTCACAGAGATGTGAATTATGTCCCACATTTATGTCCATGTTCTGCGAAGGAAGTGGCAAGGCATGGCAAGGTTGTGACTAGTCTGATTTGGTGATGCTTCCCCGACGTAGCATCACATGCATGACATTGTAAAGACAACGAAGGATGGATGCATCCTAATTATTGTGTCGTGGTCAAAACCCATTCATACATCCCTCATTCCTGCTGCCACACTACAAGGACGGTTATTACACAATCCCCTCCACATACACACAATCTCTCGTCTGAGTTAATGCGATGCAGTACATGCAGAGGTAACTCCCTTACCTCTGCATGTACTGCATCACATAACCCGCGGGGCGGGGCAGTGGCAGTATTTTCCTGTGTGACTGGATTAGGGCAGGCTGTTCCTGGGAGGCTGCTAACTGTTGCGCTGATCTGGCCAGGCTAGACAGCTGCAGCAGCTGGCTGCTCAGGCCCCACCCAGCCCTGCCAGCTTTGGGTTCATCTGGGAACAGTGCCAGCCAGCCACTCAGACTGCAGCACTTGGTGTGCTACACACATACACGTAGCGGTAGCAGTAACTTAAATATATCACTGACCACTACACACACACTGACTGTAATATAACACAGGCATTATTGTGCTTTGCCTTATTTTGAATTGAGGGATTCTGTTTGAGTGTCATTTTGATACGACGCGGACTAAACAGAGCGCTGCCTTTCCCTCTCAAATATCAGTCTGGATAAAGTACAACAAATGAGAGGAGAGAGAAGAGATGCAATAGTTCATCAGACAAAGTCAGGTACAATGTGCAGTAACTAATTCTGCCCTTGGCCAACACTGTTTACTTCCTGTGTGTCAATAGGTTTTTGGGTCAGGGAGCTTTTAATGTCACTGTTCCTTTTTCTTCAAAAGCAAATTCTGCTAGTGCTTTTCTGATGTACACAGTTGAATTAAAGGCACTGGGAGTTTGAATTTGGGGAAGTTGCTTTTGTAAAAGATGATATAAAATGTCTCTGCCTATCTGCTTTGTCTTGTCCATCCAGGTCCTGGATTTGATCTCCAGTGACAATCTCAACGTGCCATCTGAAGAGGAAGTGTACCGGGCTGTGTTGAGCTGGGTGAAACATGATATAGATGGACGAAGGCAACATGTACCCTGGGTAAGACTTTCTTACATATTTCTATATTAGTTTTACCGTACTCTGGATAAAAAAAACACCTCATCACATTTCCTCCTTTCCCTTCTCCTGCCCCTGTTAGCTGATGAAGTGCGTGCGGCTGCCACTGCTGAGGCGAGACTTTCTGATGAGCAACGTGGATACAGAGCTGCTGGTGCGACACCACTCGGAGTGCAAGGACCTTCTGATCGAGGCTCTCAAGTACCACCTGATGCCCGAGCAGAGGGGAGTCCTCAGCAACAGCCGGACGCGCCTGCGACGCTGTGAGGGTGCAAGCCCTGTGCTCTTCGCCGTTGGTCAGTGTGCCCCCGAAGGTACCCAGTAGGGTACACCTAGGCCACACTTTGGGATTTTTGTAGCACTGTCATTTAATGGCTTAAATAGTGTCTAGATCTTAAGAAGATAATATGCAGAGACCTTGGCCTCTGCCTATATGTTCTCTTTTCTTATTTTGCTGTCTACAGGACATTCCTAGGCATCAGCAAAGAGCTTTTGGGCCCTATGTGGGGGTCTAACCTGTTCAGGTGTTCAAAACATGCCCCTTGGTGTCTGATACCGAGGCACAAGACCCCGTTTAGCATCCGTATGATACAAAACGGCTGTTTTTTGACGACTGATGAGAGCAGACTGTTACATCGCTGTGTTTTTATGTGCATGTGCTCCTGTGTTCCCCCTGCTCCTCTCTCTCTTCTCTGCTGTGGGCATAATGCTGCTGTCATATTTTCTCAAACTGTCACTATATTCTGACAGTAGTACATGAGACAGATAATCTGTGAATAAATCAGGTTCCTCTGGCTCTTGTTAGTGCTTCTAATGGCATTTGCAAGATTCCACCGTGCCCAAAGGAAAACAACCAATCAGAACCAAGGAGTCTCTACACAGTGACAATCCCCACCTGTGAGACTTGTGACCGCCGATCAAACTTTAACACTAGGCGGCGCTGATCAAATATGAATCAAGATTCTGTTGCTGCATTGACTATTCCTCAAATATTTTCAGAAACATTTTGTTGTACTGTTTAGCTGTAAAATGAGAATGTTTGCTTCAGTCAGTAGTCGGTGCTACGTTCTGGATTGACTATATTCTAAATTCAAATATATATTTAAATATGAAAATATTCGATCATGAAAAAAGCTGCATTTCGGGAGTCACACATGTCACTTTCATTCATTTAAATGAAATGTAAAGTTAAATTAAGCTAAAATCATCCCAAAACGTAGCAACTTGGAAAAATCCTCTGAAATGATGGCATACATTGGCCACAATCACTATGTTCCTTTTATAACAATAGATTTTCATATTTACTTTACTGCTTGACGTCAAAGCATTGTTCTTTACCATATTGTGTTTGTGTGTGCGTCTGCAGGTGGCGGCAGCTTGTTTGCCATCCACGGAGACTGCGAGGCATATGACACCAGGACGGATCGCTGGCACATGGTGGCTTCCATGTCCACTCGGCGGGCACGGGTGGGCGTGGCAGCCATTGGGAACAGACTTTATGCCGTTGGAGGGTGAGTGTAAGAACTACAGCGCTGACCTTTGATCTAGTTAAAAAACAAGTTAACCCATCATCTCTTCTCAAACACTACATTGTATGATGTGAACTAAACCTGATTATAAAAAGAAAGCTTTGGCAGACGAAAAATGTGGATGATTTACAAGGAAAATAATGAACGGCTTCATCCTTGTGCTGCTGATGAGCTGTTAAGTGCTTTCCTCAATACAAATGCCTCTTCAACTTGTCTCGGATGGACATGGATGTAAACTGCAACATGACTAGTTTTCAGAGAATTTAAGGCAACATGCTTCCACGTCAAGCATCAAAAAGCTGCTTCTGATTAATTTATATCCATGCCTCCTCAGGTATGATGGCACCTCAGACCTCGCAACCGTGGAGTCCTACGACCCCATCACTAACTCGTGGCAACCAGAGGTTTCTATGGGCACACGGAGGAGCTGCTTGGGTGTAGCCGTCCTGCATGGCCTGCTGTACGCTGCTGGTGGTTATGATGGAGCCTCCTGCCTCAATAGGTACAGACACTTTTTTGATGATGAATGCTTAAACATCTAGATACTTTCAAGCTACATTTGCTACATTCTTGGATCTTCTGTTGCTGTTTTTTGTAGTCTTGATGTTGTTTTCTAGGCCGGGTCTCAAAGACAGCTTCTCTAAATAAGGTAGCCTTTCAATGTCATTACTATGAAATCAAGCAAGTCTTTCTCTTCTCTTTCAGTGCGGAGCGTTATGACCCTCTGACCAGTACATGGACCTCGATTGCTGCCATGAGCACCCGTAGGAGATATGTCCGAGTAGCGACTCTCGGTAGGAACTTGCCAAAAAACACAATATCGTGAACATGCTGTTCTACTGTATGTTTATGTTTCACTGTTTGCCTTTTAATGTTTGAAATCAAGAGGGACGTACCATCTTGGTATTCGACTGCTAATATTTACATTCTGAGTGTTTACTCCCTTCTCCCCTCCAGATGGCAGCTTATATGCAGTGGGAGGTTATGACAGCTCCTCACATCTCGCAACAGTGGAGAAATATGACCCCCAGGTAAACGGCATGTTGTTCAATTTATCATCAAAGTAACTTGTCTGTTGCCAGGATTAACTGAATGTGGAGACAAAACCATCCACTACGATTGTATCTATGACCCTGTGACCAATGCTCAGTCTCTTTATGTAACGAACAGAGCAACACGTGGACGGCTATTGCCAACATGCTGAGTCGGCGCAGCAGTGCCGGGGTGGCCGTGCTGGACGGCATGCTGTATGTCGCAGGGGGCAACGACGGCACCAGCTGCCTGAACTCTGTGGAACGGTTCAACCCCAAGGCCAACACCTGGGAGGGAGTGTCCCCCATGAACATACGCAGGTTAGCGGGCACCCGGAATTCATACAAAACAGAATAGTCAAGTTCAGGTCCAGGGACCAAAGATGTCTCTCAAAGCAGGTATAGTATGTTAAGGAAAGAAGTGAAATCAACTCTTCAAACGTGAATAATGTGACAAATCCAAAATTTGTAGCCAACAGGGCAAACAATGTTATAAAATGAGACACACCTCAGCCATCAGGAGGCCCTGGTTCTACTATTCCAACTGCAAAAGTTAAACTCACAGTCATTAAAAGCTGAAATGCATTGGCCTCGGATGCACTCAACATTTTTGTCTGGGGCCTGCCCACCTTTTATCCTTCTCGTCAGGCCCGGCCTGTTTCTAAAAATACTGTGGTACCCCCAGTTTTGCCTTAAACTAAGTAGAAGACAAAATGTCTTTTGAAAAGCTTGTAAAAAAGGTACCCCTGCTGCGATGATTTAGCTCTGTGGAAAATCTTTACTCTTCAAGGTGTACGATTTGGGGCATTTGGATGTCTTCCTTACTGCCTCAACCTTCTTACGGCATAAACATCAAATGACCTATTTTCAGTTGGCTCTTTCTTATTTCTTAGAAGAGGAAACTTGTCCTACGGGTGATCATCAAAGCACACACTCGCAGCATTTTACCGATATAAGATCTGCATCAGAGAAGGGGTGATTTACAGATGTAGCAGTCTTGCATTTGAGAACACATCAGCAGATTCACTTATTCCCCAGGCTCCTTGACACACACACACACACACACTCTGAGACACACTTTGTGTGTGAGTCAGTATCCTGTAGGAGCAGGGAAACCTGACAACAAGGGACTATGCAGCCTCATGAATAACCCATGTGTTAATCAGCTGTGTGGCTTTGAGTGCTTTTCTTATCCAGTTGCTGAGGGACTCCATTTGCACAGTCCAAAACATTACGCTGTATTGACCACTAATCTATCACTCTTCAGTTTTACACGTGCCAATGTGAAAATATTGTAGAGTAATTGTCTTGGCCAAAATAATCTCACTATATTGTGATATGACTGTAGCATGTAAAAACGTATTTTCCTTAGATGGCAGAAAAAATATCTGTTGTGTCTTTTTATCGTCCCAACAAACCATTGCCTTTTCCACTGGTCCACTGCGAAGATTAATAATTAAGGAAAGTATTGTTGGCACTTCCTGGTTTCCTCAAACTGTGTGGCACAAAAGGAACTCACCATTGTGTCCACTATTAGTTAATGCGATAATAATGAAGCTTCAGTATTTTCTAAATTCTAAAATATCAGCTATTGTCCCATCTGTGCATCTCATGATCTCTTTTGTCATCTTTCACTTTTTCTACACAATCACTGATTATGTTCACGCACCGGTCTTGTATTTTTTGAATGTAATACAAAGCCTACACTGCACCCACTCTAAATTAACAGGTGCTGGCTTCTATAATAAATGCATGGAGATAATTATTCACTCCTGATAAGTGCTCCATAAAGTAATTCGAACATGGCATATGCAAAATATAGCTCTACAAAACACGTTGGATTTATATATTGAATTTGATTATTTCCTCCTTCCAGGAGCACCCATGACCTGGTGTCTATGGATGGCTGGTTATACGCAGTGGGAGGTAACGATGGCAGCTCCAGCCTCAACTCCATCGAGAAGTACAACCCACGCAGCAACAAATGGGTCGCGGCCTCCTGCATGTTCACACGGCGCAGCAGTGTAGGCGTGGCTGTCTTGGAGCTGCTGAACTTCCCACCACCCTCCTCACCCACCCTCTCGGTTTCCTCCACCAGCCTTTGACACGGGGTCACCGCTTGGCTGACTTCAGCCTCTGCTGCTCCAGCCCAGACTGGCTCTGGGAAGAAACGCAACTGCTCGGTTTGAGACTGGGAGGAGGATGGGAGTGCACAGGTAAATGGATGGAGGGGGGAGAAGAGAAAGAGGGAAGATGAGAATAAGGCTCCTGTGGTCATTAATATACAGTACCCTCCAAAATTAGTGGCACTCGTGGTGAAGGTTGGCCAACCATGGTTTACAAAAAAATTACAATGTAATAAAAACATTTTAAATGTGCAGCACCCAAAAAATATTCCACAGGTAACTATTAATTATCATGAACAGTTAAGGGACAACTTATGATTCCTGAATGATCCAACACAAGATATTACATTTCTAGTTTTTTTATGGTCACACCAATCTGGCTGCTCTTTACAAAGTTTTCCATTAATTCTGGACTGCACTGTATCTGGTCTGGACACCTGACACTGCACCATACGGATGCCAGCTCCCACTCTCTTCAAGAGTCTAAAGATGTGCCTGGATGTGTTAGCATGTCCTCGAGCTCCCGTTTTTTTCTCTCCCACCACTCCAGTGTTTGACACTCATCGTGAAACACGGTGGACACTTCTGTCATGCGTGATGTAAATGTTTTTGGTTTGATGTTGTTGTCCTCTGCAATACTTTTATTTTGATGTCAAGATTTTTTGCAATAATGTAAAAAAAAGAAGAAGAAGAGAGAAACTGAATGACTTTACTTTTGGAATGTAGCTTTTGACTCAGTATACCATGCATGTTTACGGATTGGCATTGACTCCGAACAGGAGGATAAAACGTAGTGCCGCTGTGCCACACTAGGTGGCAGTAACAGGCAATGTTATAAACCCTTCCCTCACTGCAGGACAGCATGGACACAGACAACAGAGAGAAGTCAGCCCCTCAGAACTGTATACGAGTTTGATCCTTTTTTTTTATATAAAATAGAGAAGAATTGTGTTTAACTATATGTATTTATAAAAAAATAAATTATAAATTCTAATATATTCTGTTTTAAAGTGAGGAAACAGATCAGACCTATGCCTATTTAAGAGTGTTTTTAATATATTTATTTAGGTGTGTGATGTGCATATCGTCAATTGAAATGACAAAGAGAATGTCTAAGGGAGAGAGAGAGGTTGTTGTTCAGTTTATGTGCATTTGGAGTTTCTCTTGGTTAAGAGGAATGATTGTTGCATTTCGATATGCAGCATTTGATTTACATTTCTTAATGTTTGTTCACTGCCACAAGCATGATCACACTTGAAACTGTACCTTTTGTCTGCTACATTTGTGCAAAAGGCTTTAGTTGCTTGCAAACCTATTGACCAGTCAATGAAAGGACTCTATATCGTCTTAAATTATTTTTAAGCGGACATGAAGGTGGATATAATCCTTGGACACATGAAAAGTTTAAAATGACATTAAAGCAGCAAGTACTAGTTAACCTACTGTATACCAACACTTGACACTAATGAGTAATGCCGTTGACACTTGGTGCTGTCATATCTCCTTCCATACATTATCAAGTGTGGTGTCTTGTTCTATTACCTCATTGTTGAAACGGATCAAACGCTATTGCAACAAAGTTGAACTAGAAACAACTGTACAATTATCTGCAGATATACTGGCTATCCAACGTGTGGTGGACGACTTGGGAATGTCACCACTGAACTTCCATTGTCTAAAATAAATGGATTACCTTGAGTCTTCGTGACGCAATTAATACCCGGGTTCAGTTCAGATGTTATGTAGCGCAGTGATACTAATCCAAACTTCTGAGAAGTTGCCTTTTTTTTTCCTTTTTCTTTTGAAGGATTTTGTTGATCCAGTTCTGTTCATCTCTAACTACCTTACTGTTCATTTGTTAGAGCGGACCCAGTAGAATAGTGGCTGTGATGGTCTTATGGAGAGTCAGGGCCAGACTTTAAGAGGTGTGCACACAAAACCACATAAGACTTTGGCCTCCATTCTGCTGATTGAACTGTAAATACAAAAATTGTGAATCTTAAATCCATTTGTGCAATTCCAATGTGACTGTAGCTATTTTTCAGTTTGTGTTCGATGTGGTGATAATTGTTTATTTATTATATGTTTGTTATTTATGAGGAACTTTAAAATATTGAATTTTGCACTATTGCGAAATGGAGCAATACACTGTAAAAAAAAAATGAAATAAAGACGTTTTCAGATGTGATAACTGCCTTGACGAGTTTGAACACGTGTAAAAACTGGGTGGGACAAAATGTAATACATCCTGGAAATTGTATCCCTACATCTGCAAAAATGCCTCACTGTACTCACTATGTCACTCTGGATCAGAGATGCAGCTAAATGCCCAATGAAAACACGTACATACATACAAACACACACACACACACTTAAGCTTGTGTTGCTAGCACTGGTTGTTGCTAGGCCCACTATACACCATTGCTTGGTACCTTCCCAACATACTCCTCTTTCATAGTGATCTCAGCAGACAGCTGAACACTCACTTTACCCTTCTTGACCTCAGTCACATGGCATTCACACCTGTGGCTGCCTCTGCTCACACTGAAGCTCACACTCTCCCAGAACACATAGAGACACAGGCCAAATATACACAATGCAGAACACCTACAGGGAGAAAGAAGGCTACAACTGCACATTGAGCTACTTCAACATTTTTTGAGGACAACAGTGGAAGAAACATCTGTGCATGTGTGTTTGGGGCTTTGCTGTACTTGAGGTGTTGGACTGCAAAAACAAAAGTATGTATCGTGGTTGCATACAGAGGTGGGAGACTCGAAACACAATTTACACAGTGTCAGTTCTGTTTGTAATGAAATGTGGCAGAGGAGAACAGATTCTCAGAAATCTAAAATAAATAACATGCATATTTGTTTCTTGTACAGCAGACAAAATCAATCGCACTGTCCTCAGAAAATTCTTAAAAAACATTCCTGAGGCATAATCCACTTCTTCATTTTCCATTCATATGATCTGTTATTAACATTTATAAGCTCACTCAAATATAACTGAAAAGATAGATTGAGGGTGAAGTATCACGTGTGTGTTAGGATTTAAAGGTGTGCGTGGATTTGTTTTGCATTTCCATGTCTCTGATTGCTGTAACAGATAGCCGCCTTCGCTATTATGAAGATGCTAATGATTTTACAACCTGTCTGGATAAATGTGCTCACTCTGGAAGAGCGGCTGTCCTAACAGCATTCCTGCCACTGGAGCCTCTCCTTTTTCCCCTGGTGTCAGCCTCTGCACAGCCCTTATGGCCATGGAGATGCGGTCACCCTCTCTGGAAGGACTGAAGTGTCAATCAACCTACTGTTAGAGGCCATACACAATTTTTTGACCGACCACTTAAAATAAGACCGGGCCTGAAATGGAAAAACTCTCAACCCCACCAAAGTATTTATGACTGTACAGCTCATGGAAGTGTAATCAGAGTAGAAATAATGTGGATGGCCATAATGCTCATGCAAGGACAAGAACCAGTGGTGTGCCCAATAGCAGACCTACAGAGGATGGACAAAATAATTGAAACGCTTTACAGCACAAAAGCCATGAAGTAGCAACTAGTAAAGATCCCAATTCAAAAGGAAGATACTCAAGTGAGCTATTTTAAAAGGGGCAAGATGTGGCCAGAATTTAGTTTGAAACATTCAAAAATGGAACTAACATCAACAGAATGTGAAGATGTTAGACTTAGAGTGTTAATGTTATGTCAAAGAACTATATTGTGTTGCAGAGATATCTACTGAAATCAGGGTGCTGACCAGCTAGCCCCGGCCTGTCCTGTCTTGTATAGTAAGTCACTGTAGCGTCCAGTCTGCCCTCAATCCAACATGAGAGGACGACGAAGTAGAGCAGCCCCAAGGGCTCGTCAATGATGCCTCCATAGTCCTTATGGGTTTTCATAGCGTAACGAGAAAATGACTCATGTTTTCATTTTGCCCTTTCTGCCTTCCCTTAACCCAATAAACAAACTATCAAAATGTACACGGACCGTACAGCCCCCGGTTAGTGGCACAGCAAACACAAAGAGAAAGTAAACAATAAGCCAACGCCACACGTGAAGATTAGAAGATAGCAGAGTTATTTTGAGCTTCAGCAGTTTGGTCGCATTTTTTTAAATAACTGATGACTGTAAATTGAGACTGAATGGACACAATCGTAGAGGCGAAATGCTGCCCCCCATTCTTTGGAGCATGTGGCTGGACATCAGACATTGCACCTTTAATTAGTGTATCAATTAATATTGTGTTTCTGCTTGGAAAGAGGTTTGACAATTCCAACAAAACAAGTTTGAGAAGATTTTCAAGATAATGTAAGGCAACATACATAAGGACAAACATGCCAGATAGTAAATTATCAAATGTGTCAACACTACAAAGTACTTGCTGTCTGCTGAACTTCCCTCGGTCTCTTTGTTGTCACATGTCTTTCTATCTTGCTATTGCCAGTCGACCCTCATCTACCTGCATGCATGTCTTATATTGTTGTTCTGCTGTGTCAGACTGATTTATATATTTTACATACTCTGTATGCTTCTATGTTTTGTGCTTTGGCTCTGTATTTAATGTCTAACAATGCAGCATCATTTTGTCTTTAGGCCATGTCTCTATTAACATAATTATCCCTCATTTATTTGCTTTGCATGTGTTGTTCTATATGCACCTCTGTGTTGCATGTCTAGTACTTGACAATGTAGTATAAGGGTGTCTTGAATTATGTTTCTACTTATATTAATATTGTCTCTCCTTTTATTATTGTTTCTGCATGCTTATAAAGGATAAATGATGAATAACTTTATCATTTTAATCTTACATTCTGTTTTTTAGGGTGACTTTGTAACATCTGTCCAGGAACTACAGATGACAAATGACTGGCGCATTTACAGTGATGTTTTATTAATGTCTCGACCAAATAAACCAATACATTGAAAAAAATTAAATACCAAAAAATAAGAAATTGAAAATGATGGTATAGTTAAATTCCAAAAGAATTATCACAACACAAGACAGCAGCTCTCTTTGTTAAAATCAAACAGTATTTACAAGTGCACCCTTAACAACACCACAAACTAGTTTTAAAAATGAGTACTGATTTGAATCAACACCTCTGACAGTCACCACAATACTGACCCTAGTATATATAATCATGTTGGTTTAACCTGTGTACATTAGTTGACCTTATTTACCAAAATATTTTGTATACATCCATAATATATGAATTTACGTATCTAGATTAAAAAAAGGTCAGCTCAATATCTGCAATATCTGTAAAACATGGTTTTACTGCAGCAGTCACACCTTAGTTTTTTTCCTTTCTTTTTTTTAACGGAAACCAACAGAGATCCAAATCACGAACCTCGTCCAACATGCTGTGACAACACATCCCTGTCTCATTGCTGACATCATCAACTTTTGTTTTCCATGGTAGTGAAACTGATTGGATCCACTCAGTGTGTGACCTCCAATTTCAATAACATGTGTGCATTTCTGTATTTGTTGCCTCAAAACTCAAACAATCTTATGTTTAGTCGTTTCACGGCTTCACTATGATCATATAAACTTCGTGCGATCTTCATGGGATCTACTGAATCAAGCAGTTGAAATAGTTCATCTGACTTTGACTGATCTTGCCTTCAAAGGAGGGCCGGGGTCCAATTAAAATTCCTTGATGGTCGTCCTGTGTGAGAACTTTGGCACGTCAGAGTCTCTGTTGGACACCTGATGTTGGGGGCCTCATATCCAGACTCTGTTTTAGTGGCCTGAGGTGTGACTTTAGCACCGCTGCTCTCACCAGCTGAGTCTGGATAAACACAAGCGAGTGACTTCTTGGGGAGAGCCAAAGTTCGACCCACCACACAAGGAGAGAATGACATTATGAAAATGGCCTCTACGTCTCTTCCTTGGAACAAATAATAAAATGAAACTGGCAGATTCAATTTGAAGGAAACCCCAGAGAAGTATAATTTACATACCGTAGGTACAATTAGATATGGTCTGATTCAGAAAGGGGCTCAATTTCATACATTATTGTGGTGAGCACAGACTGGAAAACTAAAACATACTAAAGAATAAAGTCCTTTAACTTTTTAATGGGAAACTATGTGGGCTGTTTTAGGAAACAGCTCATTCCGGAACTGTGACCCGCACAATATGAAACGGAGTGGGAAAAAAATGAATGGACTGTTTATCTTTTGAGATATAGTGTTGCTTTTGGCAAGCCACCCAGTATTTCTCTTCCCGTTGATCAATGTGACGCAAAACTGTAGGAGTGAGATCTACAGAAGTTGTTTGAACTAACCCACAAAGTGAGTTGTCCAACCCACTTGCTGCTATTCAAACTAAAGTCTATGGTCACACTGGAGTCCTGTAAAGACTGCTTGAAATGAGCTAGTTCATACAAGCCCACATATGTTGCCCAACCACGTCCAAGTAAAGAGTTTAGAGCCATTGAACAGCCTCACTTGAAAGCTGGACCAATAAGCCGGTCATATAGGGGGGAAAGACGAGATAAACAATAATATGGGGAAAGCGGTCTTTCACACATATAACACAGTTCCTCTGAGTTGTTCCAGTTAAGAAACAAAAAATGATGGAAGTAGTTGTGTAAAGAATGAAAAAAAAGAGAGCTTTGACGAGAAGTTCCCATCCACTTATCACCGAAAGATTATTGGCTTCAGAAAGTCAGACAAGAATGGTCAGATGCAGCTTCCCAAATCCTGTCATCGAAAAGGTTAAGGGAGAGCAGGTTTAAAGCATTTAAGATGAGATGAAGATAAATATGTTTCTGTATTTTTGTGGCAGATTTATAGCTGTCAACCCTCTCTGGGTTTGTATCTGATTAACTGTAAAAGTAGCTGCATTCTACCTGACGATTGTAATCTTGGTGAAGTAGGATGATGCACCTAAACTGAAACATCAACCTGAAACTGGATTGACTTCAAGGTAAAAAAATCCCAGGTTGTTTTGTTCCAGAGAAGGTGAGTCACCGTGATGTCTGCAAGTATTAGCAAGTTCATCTTGATGATGCACAACCAAACTACAAATGAGTTTTCCCCTGAATTTAAATGATTACATAATTTAAACTTTTAATCTGTGAAATAATTAGATTTTATTCAACTGAAACAACTACCAGTGGATTCCCCTTAATAAGGAGTCAAAGATATGATGCTGTTATATATATATTGAG